TGTCTTCTCTCTTTCATCTATTCTGGAGACTGGCCTCCTTTACAGCAGGATGTGCAGGCATCCCACTGACAAGGAACCTGAGTGAAGAAGAGCAGGTGGTCCAGAGGGACCACCAGCCTCATGACCCGAGCCCCCAGCCATGTCCCTTCCACAAGGTGCTCTGCCTGGCTTGCCAGAGCCCCCCAGCAGCATTCTGAGCAGAGAGGAGGAAGAAAGCTATAAAACAGGGGACAGGAAACAGGTTTGGAAAATGAGGAAGGAAAAGTTCGCCTTTAGGATCTCCTGCAAAAAGAGAGTAGCGTTCGGCCCCTACCCCGCCACCACAAATTCAAGTGCTGTGTCCCACGGATACCACATCCAGCCACAACATTTATGCAAGGCCTTGCCCCCAAAAGGGTGTAATTTTGAGATGAATAAAATCCAGCTTCAGAGCAAAGTTTCCCAATCTAAGGACCAAAGCACTTGTGAAGTTGTCCATGTTGTTTAAGTTGCCCGTGTACTCTGTAGGAAAATCTTTCTCAGGGCACTTCTTCCAATTCTCTTTGTGGGGACCCCCCAGTTTGTTTGGGTTAAAGTGAAGAAATGGAGTCTTAAGGGGTGAGGGGCAGGGGTTGAGGCCAAGCGCCAGGCTGAGTTCCCTCCGTGCGACGTCTCAGCTGGTCCTCCCCACCGGTCCCCCGAGATGGGTCTCCAGCGCCCCTCCGGAGGAGGAAGCCGTACTGGCAGAGGCAGGAGGCCACCAGGCACCAGTCCCCACGCTGAGTCGAGATTCAAAAACCATCTTCCCACCTCTCCATTCTGCCTCCCATCAATCTAGAAAGGTTCAGACAGGAACAGGGGCTAACCAGATTTTCCTTGACAACCACGGGGTCCAACTTGTAAGACAGGATGTTCCAACTGGTTGAGCAGTCAATCGGGTAGAACAAAATGTGAGAAACAACAATCCCTGTGTTAAGGAGTGAGCCGACAGTGGTCAAACCACGTGGCCCCCTCCATCACTGGCTGGCCTCAGGAAAGCCCTCCAACCTGCTTGGCCTCAGTTTCCACATTTGGACAACAAGGCAATTGGAATAAAGATGGGGCCCCCCACCCTGGCATTGTTTGACTGTGGGGACAATCCTGGAGAGTCTGTCCCTCATTTATTTTTCATCTTTGGCTCAGTAGAAATGAGTCTAGTACCTGCTCCTCTTCCTTCCCTCAGCCCCACGGACGGCAGAGAGGTTCTTTAAAATGGAACAATGTGTCAGGAGCAGAGGGCAACGCAGAGCTGGTGTTTAAAGTGTATGGGGATTTCTTTTGGGGGTGATGAAGGCTTGGAGGGACCCAGCAGAGGTGACAGTGGCACAACACTGTGAACAGGCTGAATGCTACTGAATTGCACACTTTAGCTTTACACTCCATGAACCTCACCACCACTTAAAAAAATCGAATGCCACTCTCTTATAAATCCTTCCACGATTCCACATTTCCTTAGAATCATGACTAAAAGAAAAGCCCTTTGAACGCTGGCCCCGGATTTCCCTGTCTCTCCACTCAGCCTGCTTCCATGAGCTCCAGATGCACAGACAGCTGGACAGCCCCTCCTCTCTCGTCTTCCCACTCTCGCCCGGGCCATGCCAAACCCCCTCTCCAGCAAATCCCGGGCAGTCTCCTACTCATTCTTCCAAACTCACACCACTCAGGGATGCCTTCCTGTTCCCCTCCCAGGTGGGCGAGAAGCCCTGGTGCTCCCCTCATGGAGTTCTTACCCTGCTTTATAATCACCTGCTTGCGTGTTTGCCCCATAGCACTTTCTGCAATGATGAAAACATGCTAACCAGTATGGTAGCCACGAGCCACACGTGGCTGCTGAGCCCTTGAAGTATGACTGGTGTGACTAAGGAACTGAGTTCTAATTTAATTTTTATATAAATAACCATGTGTGGCTAGTGCGCGCTGTATCAGACAGCGTAGTTCAAATTTTAACCTGCATCCATATCGCCTAAAGGACTTGTCAAAACAGATTGCCAGGACTTAGCCCCAGAGTTTTTTTTATCCTTTCCAATTTTACTGAGTACAGTTGGCATCCAGCCCTGTATGAGTTTAAGGTATGCAGCATAATGGTATCACCTACATACTTCATGAAATAATTATCACCGTAAGTTTTGTCAACATCCATCACCTCATAGAGACACAAAATGAAAGAAATAGAAACATTTTTTTTCCTTGTGATGAGAACTCTTCGGATTTACTCTCAGTAACTTTCGCATATAACATACAGCAGTGTTAATCATATTTAGCACGACGTACATCACATCCCTTGTACTTATTTATCTTATAACTTGAAGTTGGTACCTTTTGACTGCCTTTATCCAGTTCCTCCTCACCCACTCCCACCTCTCACCTCTGGTAGCCACAAATCTGATCTCTTCTTTGAGTTTGTTTGCCTGTTTTTGAAGCGTAATTAGCCTGCAACACTATGTTAGCTCCTGGCGCATCACACAGTGATTCAGTATTTCTGTACATTTCAAAATGGCCACCACGGTAAGTCTAGTAACCACCTGTCACCACACAGAGAGATTACATAATTATTGACTATATTCCCCACACTGTGCATTCCATACCTGTGACTTATTTATTTTGTAGTAATTGGAATTTTTCACTTCTTAATCTCTCACTTATTTCTCTCCCTCCTCCACCACACCCCAACCCCTCCCCCAGCAACTACCTGTTTGTTCTCTGAATCTATGACTCTGCTTCTGTTTGGTTGTGTTTGTTCAGTTGTTTCCTTTTTCAGATTCCACACATAAGTGAGATCATACAGTATTTGTCTTTCCCTGACTTATTTCACTTAGCGTAATACCCTGTAGGTCCATCCGTGTTGCCGCAAATGGCAAGATTTCGTTCTTTTTTATGGCTGAGTAATATTCCATTGTATCTTACATCTTCTTTATCCATTCATCTACTGATGGACACTTAGGTCACTTCCATATTTTGGCTATTGTAGATAATGCTGCAATGAACACACGGGTGCATGTATCTTTTCAAACCAGTACTTTCATTTTCTTCAGATAAATACCCAGGAACGGAATTGCTGGATCATATGGTAGCGCTATTTTTCATTTTTTGAGGCACTTCCATACTGTTTTCCTTGGTGGCTGCACCAATTTACATTCCCACCAACAGGGTTCCTTTTTCTCCACACCCTCTCCAGCATTTGCCATTTGTGTGACACCCTCACCAACACTTGCTATCCCCAGGGATTCTGATTCGGCAGGTCCGGGGTGAGGCCCTACCATCCACAGTGCTAACAAGCTCTCAGGTGGTATTAATGCATCTGGTCCTGGGACCACACCTGATAACCATGGGTCTAGATCCAAAAGTTCTAGACTTGAATGACTCTAGACTCATATGGTCAAGCTGTGGATATTCTAAGTGGTTCTCAAAGTGCGATCCCTGGACCAGCTGTATCAACATAACAGGAACTTGTTATAAATGCAACATCTCCATCGCCACCCTAGACCTACTGGGTGCAGGATCCCCAGGGGACCATCTACAATTAAAGCCTGAGAAATACTGCTCTAGACAGTCATTCCTTTTTTTTTTTTAATGGAGGTACTGGGGATTGAACCCAGGATCTTGTGTATGCTAAGTACGTGCTATGTCACTGAGCTATACCCTCCCCTCCTTAGTATTTCTTTAAATATATGTATCATAATTTTTTTGAGCACTCCTCTCTTGCTGGACACCTGGCTCATGTCCAACTATTTTTTTTAAAAACCTACTGCAGTGAGCATTCCTTTACATACATCATTGTACACTGGGCTAATTATTTCCTTAAGACAAATTCTTAAAGGAGGAATTAATGCGTCAATGGGCATGCATATTTTTCAAACCTTTGGTCCATATTGCCAAATCGTCCTCAGCATGACTGCTCTTCCAGAAAATGGGGTCCTTGTGGGGAAACTTTCTCAGAGTAGATGGGTGTTGAGCTGGGGGCTGAAGGATGTTTAAACAGAGAAAGGCAGTACTGTGTCACGTCAGAAGATCACCAGCTTTAACTTGGGAGCAAGCCTGGCTCTGTCCTCCCAAACTGTGTGACTCTAGAAAAGTTACTCAGCCTCTCTGAGCCTCTCCCCGTCTTCATCTGTAAATGGAGTTATCACTACCTGCCTTTCACTAAGCTTTAGAGGTAATACATACAGAAACCTTGCATGGCTGTGCACTAAATATTTCTTGAATAAATGAGGTAAATTAACAGTTGGATAGATGGAGGAATGACTCAAAGAAAAAATGAAAGAAAAGAAAGGAAGGAGGAAGT